ATGGATCAGGCTAGTAGTAAAGATCCAGAGGTCCAGAGCTCAGGGGTAAATCCGGAGTGGAGTTGATCCTGCTGAGGTGTGGAGCACACAGCAGAAGGGGATCTGGGAATGAGTCAGATATGGGGTCTGGAAATAGGTCTGGAAAGTGTGGGAATATGATGGGATCTATGTCTGGCATACAGGATATGACAGGCACACACATTACTTGTTCTGTCTTTCTTGCACTTCTTGAAACTATATTGTGATTCACCTTCATCACTCACCCACTGCATCATTCTGTATCTTATGTAAGTAAAAAGTGAAGCAATGATATCAGAAGTGGAGCAGAACATTCTAGAACAAATGACTTCATTATCATCATACCCTGTAGGTACAATTTTGCGAAGTATCTGATGGGTCAGAGCATCCTAATAGAAAAATAAATCAAGGAAATACTAGAGAAAACAACTCAGAAATAATAATACAATAACAAGGCACAAAGCACAGGCTTTTTAGATAGGTTTTTGTTAGGCTTTGAACTTTTCTCTATGGTTTTCTCTAGCCAAAGTGAATAAGCCAAAAGCAAGGCAATACCTTAACCTTATCACTTCACAATATTAACTAGGTCATTATGTGATTCCCATCTCACAAATGACTTTTCTTCAAAATATAGCAAATCCATGAATCACAGAGGGGAAACTGAACTATTTGACCAAGTTTTGAAACCAAGGTATGCTTGACTAGTCTGATGACTAAGCTAACAGACTTTGTCTTTTAGGGGCTACCAAGTAGTCATGTCCATGCATGATTCCCAAATCATGCAGGACACTGAATACATAAATTTCCACTTATATCTAGGGCACATACCATGCTGATTACCTCTGTTAACTCCACAAAGGTACATGTCATGCAACAAGATTTCCCTGCAGATGTGAAGAATGCACACTGGAGGCCATCATGGCTCTCAAGACTGACATAGCAGACACACATGACACCCCACAGATAGCAAAGATCAGTCAAGCACACCTAGCCAATATTTACTGAAGAGAAGACCCATGCTTCACCATCAATGATCTTGTCTGCCTCTTAATGATGCACTGTAGATGAGAATACTTGAATGGAAAAGGCAAACAGATTGCCAAGTTTATGCCCCATTTCAATGGACCTTATAAGATCATTGCAGCATACCCTGAGTCATCCACATACATTCTCAACTTACCCACACATACTAACATTCACCTAACATTTCATGTCTCTGAATTGAAACAACATGTGTCCAATGACACTTCTCTGTATCCTTCCTGCAAACTTCAAAAGCTAGGACTTGTTGTCATGCCAACTGGAGCCAAAGAATAGGAGATTGAGCACATACTTGACTGATGATTATGCAGACACAGATATTAGTACCTTGTCAGATGGTGTTAAGGTCAGGCTCATGTCAAAAGATAGGTGTATTTCAAACAAGTCCAGGCATCCTTTTGCATGATGCAACTTGAGCACTGGCTTGCTCAGTGATGGTTCAGTTTTTGAGGTCTGCATGTTCATGATTTCACTTGGTATGTGTAGGAACAAGGGCTCCTGCACATTTGTTGGTTGTACACAAGCAGTGAAGTAACATATGGTGAGGCAGATGATGTGGATGCTTGGTCTTAGATGCATCAGGACTCAGGAGCTTGTACTAAGTCTAGAGTCATGTGAGTGCATTACAGTAGTATTACCAACCTTACTACACAAATTATCTGTGACATGAAAGGATGTTCAAGGGACCTCATTCTATGTTTTATTGATGCAGTTGTAAGCTTTGTAATTTCTGCAAAAAAACCTCAGTTAACGACTTAGTAGTCATAGTAGAGAATAAAAATACACACATCCTTGTTAGCCTCATACCAAATGATAAATTCTACAGGTGTCTGTGCCTTGGGTTCAGACTCTGGTTCTGTCTCACTGTCATTGGGCACAGGTCCAGCACTAACAGAAAGGTCAGTCTGTGGTAGCAGGGCAAGAGGAGAATTGACATCAGACAAAACAACTTACCACTTGGCTGGATCATCAACTAGGTACTTGGTATTTTCAGCAGGCAGTTCTGACTCCAGTGCCATTTTGCTATCATCAATTACCCAAGCTTCCACCTTGACAGCTTCAAGTTGCGCTAGAAATGAGTTGCACTGCTAGATATATGTTTAATATTATAAAATGATAGAACAACAAAAGGACTTACAGCTGTCTGGTGTTAAGGTCACATGCTCAAGGGGGTCGGATCACAAGGGCTTGGCCTCAGCACATACACTGTGCCCCTTTCCCAAGTATGTGCCCTTAATTTCCGGGGGCTAGAACAGTCATCCAGAGTTTCTGGGTTTTGACTAGGGCAGATAACGGACATCCAGATCTGAAATGTGAGATAAATCCGACAGATGTCCAGATGTTACCTGGGCAAGCAGATAAGACTAATCCGGACGAAGTCCAGACTAGAAACTAACAGAGGATAGACTACCCTTAAGGTAGAGTTGGAAATGTAGTCTAGGATGCAATCCTAAGACTCGGAATATGACAAGAGACTTATCTCAAGTCCAGAGGACACAGGAATGAGCAGGAACTAAGATGATATTTGAACTGGAGTATTTCCGAGAGTTACAGGAGGTTTATATACTGTAGGTATCATATAGGAATCAGTCAGCAAACATAAAGGCTATGTACAAAGCATATGCAGAGTCTATTAGTAAGTAGGACAGATCACAAATAATGAACACCAGAAATGAAATGTATGTAATAGATCAATAATCAAAAGGGAAACATGGTTAACCGGAGTCCAGAGACAGGGGCAGTCTAAATGGAGTTGGGTGCTGATATAGGGTTTGGATTCCAGAAGGGAGATAAAGATAGATCAGATCATTTGAGATCTGGAGAAGCGGATTTAGAGTTGAGAGTCCAGAATGGCATATGACAGTTCTTGTATATTCACAGCAACATTGCACCATCTCACTCATCTGGTCCAGTTTCATTTTCAATATGTAATCTACCTCCAGAGTATTGGTTAGTTATTGTTCACTCAATCTCACAAACTACAGCTAATTCACTAGATATTGCACATCAAATCTCATGTGCACAAGCATATTACCTGGGTGTAAGGACAGATTCAGCAGTTTTTATGTCCAATTGTCTCTGACTTGCTTCATCATTGGAAGGATGGGATCAAGATTCCCACAGAGTCATGTCCGACAGGACATCTCATGCATGTGATTCTTGTTACTGCTGTGTGCAATAAACCTGCAGCACATAAAGTTGGAGGGTTCACATCTCACTCACATACTCACTTTTGCACCATATGTTGGATATCAATCTACAATAAAGACAAACCAAAAGCATTTGAGAAAGGAGGTACATTTCATATATTCCTAACATATGTATATTGAAAAGTTTCTAGGTTTTAGACCTTGAACAGATGTGGAGCAGCATAGATTAGGGGAGGAGTACCAGAGTCTCACCACACCAAGTGCACACAAATTTTGTCAAGGAACATGCAACTCACTACACACAGTTATCTCACCTTCTGTATTTCAACCTTGTTGAACAGTGTTAAGAACCATGTTGCTCAAGGGAGAGAGAGACTGACTCAGAGGGGCTTGGCCTCAGCTTGTACACTGTGCCCCTTACCCAAGTATGTGCCCTTTATTTCATATGAGGTCTGATGATGGTCCAACGAAGTCTGGAGGACTTCTGGAGGCTGGCTACTCTGGTGGAGAGTGCTAGAGGACTTCCAGAGGAGTGCAGGAAACATCCGGAGGAGTGCAGGAGAGTTCTGGAGGAATGCAGGAAGTGTTCAGGAGAGTTCCCACTGCAAGGTAATACTTCTACAGGAAACAGGATGGAAGGATAGGAGGTCTGAAGGTCTGGAGGACAGGAGGATGGAGGACAGAAGGACAGGATGTCCAGAGGTACAAAGGACAGGATGTCTGAAGGTACAGAGGGCAGGAGGATAGGACATCCGAGGGTTAGGAGGACAGAACATCTGAAGGTACGGAGGGTGGAATGTCCGAAGGACAGGATGCCTGGAGGTACAAGGGACAGGAGGTCCAGAGGTCCAGAAGGAATAGGGGCTACATTGGACAAAGTCCGATGTAGAAGCAAACAGAGGTAGACTACCTTAAGGTGGAGTTGGAGGGACAGGAATTGGACCTAAGTCCAGAAAGAGGGTAAGTGCTGGAAAGGCAGAGCTCTGGCCTAGGGAATCAATCCCTAGGCCTGATGGGTAGGACAGACTTAGGTGGACCAAAGTCTGAGAGAGGATTGGGCAAGTCTAAGTTGATATTCAAACTAAGGAACTACAGGAGTATCTACAGGGGTTATATACTGGACAATATCTGAGGGGATCAGTAAGCAAAGGAGCAAGGCTATGATATGAGGAGGTGGATATAGTCTGGAATCTGAGATGAGGTGAAGTCCAGATGTCTTGCTGGATGGAGTGTGCATAGGGTGGATGGGACAGGGGGGTATGGATCAGGATCTGGGAATGAGTTGGATATGAAGTGGGGTCCAGATGTAGGCTCAGAAGGCGTGGGAATATGATGGAACGTGGGTCTGGATTGTGGGATATGACACTGGGGTGTGAAGCACACAGCAGAAGGGGATCTGGCAATGAGTCAGATGTGAGGTCCAGATGTAGGCTCGAAAGGCATGGGAATATTATGGAATGTGAGTCCAGATTGTGGGATATGACAAACAGATTGTTATTGATCCAATGCACAATTTGTTCCTTGGTAAGCCTTATTCTCTTGTCTGGATGTCATTTCGCTGATGCTATATCTCACTTGAAAGGCTTCATTAAAACTCATTTCTATAACATATGGGTGCAGAGCAAAATCTTATGACCAAATCATGAGCTGGAAGTCCTTCATGAGATGCTTGCAGACATAACAATTTTTTACTCTATTGATATTCAATTCTAATAACACTTCAAGTTTGTTGTACCAGGCTCATGTGGTAAGTTACTGACAGATATAGGAATGCCATCAGGAGGCTCGTTGATGGCTGATCAATGGCTCCTTCTATCAATGGTTTATGGGCCAGTGATTGTAAGCAAATATCCAATGCAACATTAATTCACTTGTCCTAGCCCTTGATCAGTCAGGTTCCTCGGTTGTGGAGTGTATGCCTCCCAAGTCATGCAGATGAGGAGCTCTTGAATCAGCAAGTTGCACTGATCACATGGATGGAGGCCAAGAAAGTTTTACAGGCATCTCTGAAGATGGACAAGAAGAATACCCTAGCTGAAGCAAAGAAGAAAGGGAAGGAGGCTTATGCAGCTGAAAAGGCATGCATTACGAATGAGAAGGCTGTGGCAGCTGAAGCAAAGAGGGTTGCTAAGCTGCATGCAGCTGCAGTGAAGCAGGCTGAAAAAGCTAGGCTTTCAGCAGAGAAGAAGGCAAAAACTATGCAAAGGAAGGTACGTCCATATCTATTGTTGATTTGCTGGTTTACTGATCATATTAAGTCTACAAAATGGAAAGCAGGGTTGCAGGTAGTAGAGGACCTACCTGAGGGTCAAGTTCGACCTCCTCCACCCCCACCAGCATGTCAGCAGACCACCATTTTGGATGAAGTATCCCCCCAACCTGATGATGATGTGGACCTCAAGTTCTCCTAGTATAAAACCCCTGTACAACTCCAATAGAGTCCTCAGTCTGAATATCACCTTAGATCTGCCCAATTATCTTCCAGACTTCAGTCTGTCTGAGTCTTGTCCTTTTCTGTAAGGCCTAGGGAAGGATTCCCTAGGCCAGAATTCCAGACCTTTGGATTTGTCCTCTATGTCTCTGTCCCAAGTCTAGGGATTGTTTCCCTAGGCTAGAGTCTTGCCTGTCTGGCACTTACTCTCTCTCCAGACTTTGGTCCACTTCCTGTCCCTCTGACTCTACCTCAGGGTAGTTTACCTCTATTTGCTTCTACATTGGACAAAGTCTGATGTAGCCCCTATTCCTTCTGGACCTCCGGATGTCCCATCCTCCTAACCCTCAGACATCCTGTCCTCCATACCTCCATGTCCTGTCCTGTGTACCTCTAGACCTTCAGTCCTCCTGTCCTCCATACTCTGGACCTCCAGACATCCTGTCCTCCTGTCCTCTGGACCTCCCATCCTTCTATCCTATTTCCTGTAGAGGTATTACCCTGGGGTCTCTTCCCTTTCTGTGCAGAGAGAACTCCTCCAGAACTCTCCTGCACTCCTCTGGAACTCTGCTGCACTCCCCTGGATTTCTAGTGAGGAGTGAGGCACAGTTGCTAGGCTTACAGCATTATTACAAGATCTTAAAGATGTGGTGTCTGATGGTGTATTGCTGTTCCCACTATACATTTAGTCACCATTTTACACACATTTATATAAGACCCTCAGTTATTAAGACACCACTCTGATCACTGATCCATTGCCTCTATTTCATTTCTGGTTTCATTTCCTTTACTTGAACTGACTTACCAATAGACTTTCCATATGCTTCATGCATAGCCTCAGACTCTGCTTACTGACTATTTCATTAGTTACCTAGAGTATATAACCTCCTGTACATCTCTGTAACACCTCAGTTCAAATATCACATTAGTTCTGCTCATTCCATCCTCCAGACCTGAGTTCTCTCAACTCTCATCAACTTCTGAGACTTAAGGATTGATTCTGTCATATGCCATTCTGGACTCTCAACTCTAAATCCACTTCTCCAGATATCTGGATTCAAGATCTGGATCTCCAATGATGTGATCTATCTGTATCTTCCTTCCAGAATCCAAACCCTATATCAGCACCCAATCCCATTTAGACTTCCCCTGTCTCTGGACTCCAGTTAACTATGTTTCCCTTCTGATTATTGATCCATTACATACATTTCATTTCCGGTGTTCATTATTTGTGATCTGTCCTACTAACTAATAGACTTTGCATATGCTTCATACATAGCCTTTATGTTTGCTGACTGTTAAGAACCATGTTGCTCAAGGGGGAGAGAGACTGACACAGAGGGGCTTGGCCTCAGCTCATATGCTGTGCCCCTTACCCAAGTATGTGCCCTTCATTTCATATGAGGTCCAATGATGGCTACCCTAAGGTAGAGTTGGAGAGACAGGGATTGGACCTAAGTCTGGAAAGAGGGTAAGTGCCAGAAAGGCAGAGCTCTGGCCTAGGGAATCAATCCCTAGGCCCTGATGGGTAGGACAGACTTAGGTAGACCAAAGTCTGAGAGAGGATTGGGCAAGTCTAAGTTGATATTTAAACTAAGGAACTACAGGAGTATCTACAGGGATTATATACTGAACAGTATCTGAGGGGATCAGTAAGCAAAGGAGCAAGGCTATGTACAAGCATGTGGAAACACATTAGTAAGTAAGATGGAACATAACTAAATGAACTTGGAGATGAAGACTTGTACAAGGATCAATAAGCAAGACAGAACAAGAGGTAACCGAAAGCCAGAAAGCAGAGAATGCCTAAATGGGGATAGGTGCAGGATATCAGACAGAGGGTGGGAATAGGTCCGGAGCTAATATCCAGAGGTCCAGAGATCTGGGGATCTGGAAGACAAGGTGGATACAGGACTGGGATATGAGAAGGTGGATATAGTCCAGAATCTGAGATGAGGTGAAGTCCAGATGTCTTGCTAGATGGAGTGTGCATAGGGTGGATGGGGTAGGGGGGTATGGATCAGGCTAGCAGTGGAGATCCAATGGTCCAGAGCTCAGGGGTAATTTCACAGTGGAGCTGATCCTGCTGAGGTGTAGGGCAGACAGTGGAGGGAGAACTGGGAATAAGTTGGATATGAGGTGGGGTCTGGACATAGGCTCAGAAGGCATGGGAATATGATGGAATGTGAGTCTGGATTGTGGGATATGACAGGGTCCCAATTTGGTCCTATTATAGGCTTAAAGAAGTTGGCCTCAATAGTGGTCTCAATGTATCTCAGAATCTCATGGTTGCTACCCAGATGTGAAATTTCCAACATATAGAATCATATGTTTGCAGTACCTGTGCAGGCCATTCTAGAACCTGTATTATACTCATGGTGACCTATGTCAATATGGGCTAGCCTGCTGTTCCACCATGTAGGAGGCTAGTTGTACAAGTGAAAACTACTTCTGCAGTATGTAGGAGTGGGACCACTGCACTGCACCCAAGACCAGGCCTAGCATGTCAAAAAGGCAGGTTGTGACCTATACCATCAGCCAGCCCTGCCTCTGCAGCATGTCAGAGCAGGACAGCCAGACCTTTGGTGACTCATACCACATAGGCTGGTCTGCTGTTGCGGCATGTAAGAAAGGGCTAGCTGCTGTCATATCTGTATATCCACATCTCATCTCAGATCCAATCCACATCTTATCTCTGATCCTATCCACATCTTATCCCCATCCAACATCTCATCATCCAATCTGTCCACTCATCCAGTCCAGTCCACAACTCATCTGAATCCACAATCAGTGCTCATCTCCTTTTGGTAACCCCCTGACTCTGGTACTTTGGTTATCTGTATATCTGTCCTGCTCACTGATCCATTACCTATGCTTCATTTCCGTTTCATTATTAGTGATCCTTTCCTACTTACTGTTAAGGTTGCATGCTCAAGGGGGTCAGATCACAAGGGCTTGGCCTTAGCTCATATGCTGTGCCCCTTTCCTGAGTATGTGCCCTTAATTTCTGAGGGCTAGAACAGTCATCCAAAGTTTCCAGGTTTTGACTAGGGTGGATAATGGACATCTGGATCTGAAATGTGAGATAAATCCAACAGACATCCAGATGTTACTTGGACAAGCAGATAAGACTAATCTGGACAAAGTCCAGACTAGAAACTAACAGGGGATAGACTACCCTAAGGTAGAGCCGGAGATGTAGTCTAGGATACAATCCTAAGACTCAGAATATGACAAGAGACTTGGCTCGAGTCCAGAGGATACAGGAATGAGCAGGAACTAAGATGATATTCAAACTGGAGTATTTCTAAGAGTTACAGGAGGTTTATATACTGTATATATCATATAGGAATCAGTCAGCAAACACAAAGGCTATGTACAAAGCATATATAAAGTCTATTAGCAAGTAGGACAGATTACCAATAACAAATACCAGAAATGAAATGTATGTAATGGATCAGTAATCAGAAGGGAAACATAGTTAACTGGAGTCCAGAGACAGGGGATGTCTAAATGGGGTTGGGTGCTGATATAAGGTTTGGATTCTGGAAGGGAGATAACAATAGATCAGATCATTGGAGATCTGGATCTTGGATCTGGATATCTAGAGAAGTGGATTTAGAGTTGAGAGTCCAGAATGGCATATGACAGAAGTGGATACTCCACTGGCATGCAACATCATAGATTATGAGTGCACTGCCAATATCTTCTGATGGATATTTCAAAGCATTGCAAATGGAATAGTCCATATTCATTTGCCTGACTACACAGTTAGCCCATGGTCATAATATAACAATGGAATCACAGACCACTCTCCCTTTTGGAAGTCCACCACTGCATGGGGAACAAAACATCCATGCCTAGCACATGCTGTTGCCCCAACCCCTGTGACTCTTAGGTTACTTCTCTGGACATTGGCTGCATTCACAGCACAGTGATTATTGCAAGACAATTTCTGAAATTATATCAGACCACATTTGTAAGGAAACATGTCATGAAATACAAAACTTGCTTCTTTCTCTTCAATCAATTCTGTTATGTGAGTTTGATAAGGTCCCTCTGTTACCATGTATCCATTTTCATCTGCTAGTGAAACATCATCTTCTGGAGTCTTCATATTCATATGTTGTGCTGTAAAATTTCCACCCACAACATATCTTTGCAGAATTAACCAACTGCCAACCACAAAGATGAGCTCAGTTTGTCATTGTCAATAATGCAACCTAAATCCTCTGGACCAGGAGATCTGTCTGTCTTGTGTCCAAAGCCAAATTGAATTCTATTAACCAAATCTCTCCATATACTGTAGAGCTACAACACTAGGTTCATCACGTGCAGCATGTGATTATGTCATACTCAGTGTCACTGGTTCGAATGTCCATGTGACCTGTGACCACACCCAAATAGATTTGCCCACAGATGCTTCACTGCTTGCAACCATATGACATGCCACTGCTTCGTGATTGTGACAACTTGCTTCAGGATTCGCCTCGCATAGTGCTAATGATGGTAACAAGTGGACTTGGAGACTCTGTGGCCTTAAAGCCTGCCAGGTGAGTCTATGATCCATTTTCAAGTGCCTGTCATGCTGTCACAAACTGATACATTCACTGTTTCAGAGTCACTCTCACATGGTCATGTTTTTGACCAGAGAAAACTGCCACCCTCTGCATGATGTGAGATCAAACAGTTACTCAGCATCCCGACTTCAATGCAGCCAACCATCCCATCTCAGACTCTGTCTGTCACGCAGCTACTCAACATTGATCTTTGCGCATCACTGGACTGTGATCTTAGCTCAGACACCATCATTTTTTCAACAAATCCCCCTCTCCTCAGCCTTCCCAATGATTTCACAGCATGGTCAATTCCTCTGCTCCATTGCGTCACTCAGCTCCTCAATCAGTTCAGTCAGGCTTGTTTCAATGGTCATGCTTCAGATGTGGAAGGTGGCTCGAACAGTGTTCCAAAGGTTGATTA